TTTTTTTTTTTTTTTTTTTCACGAATGACTCAATTTTTCTAGGCCCTTCTTGATGGAACATTGACAGGTCATTCACTCTTCTCATTTTTCATATACAGGCGGGGATATTCAACCGAGAGGCAAAAAGGCTTTTTAATTGCTGAAAAATTGGATTACTTACAGTCGAAGTTGTTACAAAGAATTTTTTTCCTTGTTTCCAAACCGATGGGTAAAGTTGGTAGCTGGTTAAATGAGGTATCATTATTTGTATTTTTGTTTTTCCTATATCCCAGTCTCTAAGTCTTCCGTATAGTTCGATGTGGCCAAGAGATTGTTTTTGCCCTGGACATGTGACTTAGCAGATATATAATATGATGTGATAAGGAACGTCTCATAGTCTATTATGAGATCCTTACAAGGATGTCGGATCTTATTCTCAAGAACTTAGAAACTTTATTAACTATTTTACAATATTGATCCTTAAAATTCACTTCCTTGGCCATTGTTTGATATTCTCGATCTGTAAATGCTCATAATGTTACCAAAGAGTGCACTTCAGGATTGAGATCACACCACCTCATCAAATATCGTTATCATTTTTACTACACTGGACAACTAATCAGTTAATGGTCATTGCTTGAAGGCTTGAAGCTATATACATATCATAGTTAATGGTCATCCATATTTATATATCAATAACTGATTGACTAACATAACTTATTATCGAGTTTTCATGTGATTTTATTTTGATATTGCCTTTATGTGGCAAACAGTCTTTCACTGGCAATGTGTAATGTGGTGGATTTCTTTACATGGGACAGTGGATTAAACCCTAGACACGGGCCTTGGAATCAGTTTTCCCTGTATCATTTGCGATCAATGGGACTTTTTAGATCCTCCTAATCAGTTTTATTGTAATAAAATTACTTTAGTTGGCTTATTAGTTGTCATGCATTTCAAACTTAAAATATTCAAGAGATGTGATGAATGCACATGTAAATCGTGTTTTTAGTTGAAAACTGTTTTTTTGCTTTAATTCATTGTTTTGTATTTTATAATCACCTACTTTATGGGTTTGCTGTATTGATGACTTTGTTATATTGGTATTACAATTTGTAACTCCAAGTAAATGAGCCATGTTTTCCACTAGTAATTTAAATCATGTGTTGATCATTTGTACCCACTTTTCTCAGTCAGAAACCTTATCGAGTAAGAGCATTCTACAAAACCCATTTATGTCTGGTAGATACTAAATAGTTAAGATAAACTTTTTGTGCTCATAGCAAGGAATTCCTAAATATACTTGATTTACTTTCATGCACTGATCCGATTTGCGTCTGCTAAAATATATCCTTTTCTGAACTCATGTTTGCTCCATTGTCACATTTGTGTATTGTGAAACAGGTTTTCAAGAGCATCACACGCAACAAAGATACAGAAACTTTGGCAAGTGAATTCAAGCTCAGGATGAAGGAGTTGTCACTTCCCTTCAAATCTTATTCCTATGATGAAAAAATGTTTGATGACCATAATAAAGTTGACATCCAATCTACTGATTTTCCAATTTGGATGGCTGCACAGAAAGCAGTAGCTCGCTATGAAGGAATTCTCTCAGAAGTTGGGCCTCGAGAGAGGCTCTTAAGGAAATTTCTGGCATGGGCTGGCCTATTACCGTCAACTCCTGAGCAAGCATTTGACCTTGACACACACACTGCTAGTTCTGAATCCAACTTGAGGTTGATTGTTATCCATTGATGTCGTGAGATCTGAATACTTGATGATTTTATGTAAGCATGCATATTGATTGACATGTGTAGAAAGGCTGACAGACCATCGGTTCTTGTGGTACATTTTGGAATATTATTAGAGCAGTAGCAACTAGCAGTCCATCCAAAGAACGAGTTAGACGAGTTAATGATGGACATACTTATTTCTTATTTTAACTTCTAGTATATCTGAAAATTAAAGCAAGGAAAATGAAAGTATTTTGATCAGTTAATCATCGGGTGTCTCTGTAATCCTTAGCTTACAGGATAAAGTTTATCACAACTGATTTGAGAGTCCTTTTCGTGATCGATCGACTGTACTCGATTGTATGTGAAGGGACACAGCTACGCACACGCGCACACCGATGCATCTGTAAATTCTGATATATGTTAAATTTTTTGAAGTTTCTCTTTTAGCGTAATTTATTCGTGTCAGAAATAGTGGCTTGCTGGTTTTTTCTCTTTTAGCGTAATTTATTCGTGTCAGAACCAGTGGCTTGCTGGTTTTTCTTAACAATAAACAATAATTGATATGTTACCTCTACAGTCCAAGCTTCTTGTCAAGGATATCACTTAGTGACATATGGAAACCTGCATCACCTACATCTTGTGGAAATGACTTCCGAACCATGTTAAGAAATGCCTTTTCAATTCTCTTCTCCCAATCTATTCTGCAGGTACTTTCTAGTTTGTGAATGTAATATTTGTTCATTATTTTTGTCTGGACATTAATGCTTCCTTCTTGTTTTCGTATCAAGCCAATTTTCTGTAGATCTGCTCAAGTGTTCATAATTAGTCCAACCATATGGGTGATCTGAATTGATTAAATTAGGATACATTTGGTATCAACTTAATCATATGTGATGTGAGGTTTGCAATTTCAAGGTTTTTTGGATGTATATAAATTATGTAACTCTAATGACCTAGGCTATGCCTATGAAGGATGTTAATGTAATCACAGTGAATGGGGAACCCTTCTGTGGAAGTAAGAAAAAGTTGTTAATGCAACAGCAGCCCCTTTCATAGTATATTTTGGTGGGTCTCAGAAGTGATGGATTCTGCTTTTTTCATTGGGTTCCTGAATTTGTAATGCCAGTTTTAAGCCCAGCTGTTTAAAAAATAAATCATATTCAATTCCCAAGCTCTTCTTTACATTAGATGGAGAAGCATCTGTTGATCACCAAATATATTCTTTTTAATTTTGTGTTAATTCTCATTTAAGCTATCACACAGTGGATTGATTGGAACACTGCAGTTAGTTGCTACATGAAAATTTATTTAGATGTATTCACACTTTTGATACTCTCTTTTTCTTTCTTTTACTTGTTCTTTTTGGGTTGATTCATTCTGAATTAAGTACTTCATTAGGAGCCAGCCTTCCAAGAGTTAATCTTGCTTTATACTGAAGAAAATGGACAAAGAGAACGATTTGATCAAGCGGAGGTGCCTTCATTGCAAATGAAAATCTATGAGAAAATTCCTATTCCAGATCTTCCGGTATATGCTTCATCGAAACTGAAAACCCTATACTGTACAAATGCTTTCGGTAAATGAAGAAGATTTTTCTTTTTTTTTTTTCTTTTTTGTAGGTTGTTTTTCCTCACAAGAAGTTGTCTTTCCGAATACTTGACACGGTAATACGAACTCCATCACCAAAAAATAGACTGTCATAAAATTAAGAGCATGAAATTTATTAATTGGAAAAGGTGCCGTACATGATTATGGGAGAGAAATCTAATTGGTATAAACGGGTGCAACGGATTTTTATATGATTGGTTTATCATTTTCAGAAACCAAAGATGAGCTGAGCTAGTAGAATTAGTTGTAAAGCTGTTGCAAATTAGTTTCTACTGGAGCCTTTTATTATGATCATGGATTAGGGACGAGTAGAATGAAGATTGTGTGTTTAATGAAATACAAGATCTTAAGTAGTGATCAGGAGATGTATAAATAAATACAAGATCTTTTGAGTATTTGTCTCCACTTAATCTGGATATGATATGGAATAAAGTTTGCACTAAAAATTGATGCATAATTTGAGGCTGACAGTAACTCTTCTAAGTGAAAATTTTGACTGTTGAATGCATTGTGTTCTATTGTATTGTGAAGGCATATTTCTGGACGAAAACCTTAGTCAAGGACTTGAATGTTATTTATGCAGGTACGCTTGGATGTTGCGACAATATTGGGGCTTTTGGCATACTTCTTTAGCTATAAATTTGAAGATGTTCTATCTTCACCGTATGTACTAGTATGTTCGTAATTGCTTGCTCTAAAATTTTGCTCCATGATTGGTTGATGTTAACCGTTGTGATTAGAAGTCAGTCATGCATGCTTAGGCGCAAAACTCACGTGTAGGCCAAAGTCACTTGATGCAGGATCCTTGTACGATGTATATTGGACGTCTCAGTCGAGCAATTTCTGCTCATTATCTATTAAAGAACCTTCAGCAAATAAGCTTAAGTTTTAATGGAACCATTTATAGTTATCGAAGTAAATCATCAACATGATAAATTTACTTTACAAATTCATTTTCTTGGAAACATCTGGGAACTTTGAATCACTGACCCCTTGTGAGGGCAATGGGTCAGGATACGAAACAAGAGAAGGAAAAAGGGGGGAAAAAGAGAAAGATGGCCATTATTATAAGTTCATGTCAATGCCTGAAAGCACTTCTGTCTTTATCATTATACAAACAGAAGTGACCTTTGTAAAGATTGTTCTCCTTTTAAATATTATGCAGATCCGCAGTGCTTTTAGATGTGATTCCCGCTATCGCCCTCGTGATATATGTCAGTCGGGTAGTTTTGGGCTACAAACAAACAAGGGATAGATATCAAGTGAGCCGAGCACATACCTTTCCCTACTTTCTTTTTTCATTTTTTGAAGAGAAGGGTGCTTTTCTGATCGAGTTTATTTGTATATATTTTACTCAGCTTCTGGTGAATAAGACGCTGTACGAGAAAACAGTAGCCAGTGGCTTTGGTTCCATCCATTTTCTTCTTGATGCTTCTGAACAGCAGCAAGTGAGACACCGCTAGGCTTGTATATATATTTTATATCGATTTAGACTCCGCTCCATTATAGTCCTCTGAGACAATATATATATATATATAT